TCCAGGTCTGGTTGGTGCAGAGGGCCTATTGACTGCCAGTGTATTGTTACTGTCTAAAATACAGAAAAAAAAATATAGAGAGTTTTTTAGGACCGGCAGATTTGTGTTTTGATAGTGTTTGTTTCGCCCTGTCCAGATGTTAATGTGTGTTTTAGTCTGTGGCATTGCGGGTGAAGTGTCGTTCTCTCTCATGCACTGACCTCTTGCCTCGTCCCCCAGGAGTGGCGACACGCTCACGGGATGAGGTGCCTGGGCATTCCCAACACCGCGCATTTTGCCAATGTCACACAGATTGAGGATGCAGTCTCATGTAAGTAGTGATGGCAGAACAGGGAACATGTGGCATAAGAACACTCAGTAGTTCTTGACAAAAAATTTGTCTCCCGCTATGACCAGAGACTAGTTTCGGGAAAGAGGGTAAGAAACGTGGTGTGTGGGGGATGGTCCAAGGGAGGACTCCCAGCCCCTAAAAGCAGAGTGGCTTTTTTCTTTGTTGGATACCTGCAGGAGGAGATGCTTGCTGGGATTGCCAGCAAAGTGTTCATTTGTTGCCAGCTGTTCTGTCTGTGATGCTTTTTGTATGGAATCTCAGCCAAGCGCAGTGTGCCACCATTTCTTTAGGCAGAGTGTGGCTGCATCATCCCACGTAGCTCGTACTGAATTGGTGTTTGTCAACATTTTCATGGGGAAGCCAGAAAAACCCTCAGAAATGATAGAGCCTAAACGCACGTTTTAAAAGCCAACAGTACTTGGGACACAGTGATTGTAATTTAATGTGGCTAATCTGTGCTGGTGTTTTGAGGAGGCTGCCTCACACAGAGGTTATTTCTTGAATCTGCCCCATTTAGGTTAACAGATACAAGTTATGGTTCCTGGTGATAAATTAATTATTGCTTAGAAGGAACCAAATAGGTAAAGTCTGTATTTTCCAAACAAGTTATTATTACCTTTGGAGCTGTATCTCTGAAATAGTGTTTTTGGATCTTTGTCTCTTGTGTCCCATCTTGAATGATCCTTTAAAGCCTTGTTTTCTTTAGTTCCTGTGCCTTTCAGTAAACTGTACAGGGAAATGATAAATTTTTTATGGATGTTAGAAGCATTCTTGGACTGCTGAAGTGACAATGTTGGGGTGTTTTTTTTAAAAAAAAAAAAAACAAACAAGTGCTTGTGTATATTTTACTCCATTAAAAACTAGTATCTGAAGGGAAATGGCATCAGGTCCTGTATGACTTTGTGTTTACAGTGTGGGCAAAGCTGAAACAACAGAAGGCTTCGGAGAGATGGCAGCCCGATACCGAGGTGAGATGTTGCAGAGGGATTTCAGTGTCTCTAGTCCTGTGTGCATGGGAGCCCCGTTTACCTTGCATGAACTGACTGGCTCTGTCAGAAGAACTTCTAGGAGAGTTCCCTGCGTGCTGGAGAGATAAGCAGGAACCTGCGCTGCGGGTTGCACAGCTCCTGTTAGCGGTGATGTATGAAAAGCACCTCTTGGGCTGGATTGGAAAATAGTTCTGATGGGACAGGCTCTGCCCTTTGTGTATGAATCTTTTGATACACTGCTGTATCATAGCAGTGCCATCGTTGTTTTCTGAGAAGAAAAAGGAACTGTTGGGAGTAGCGTGTTCACTTAAACCAGTGCCTTTTCTTGAACTTCTGTCTCAAACCGTTTTTGGCCAGTGTGCAGGGCAACTGTGAGAAATACAGTTTGTGGTTATTCTGGCTCTAAACTTCCCAGGGAGCCTGCTGGTAGATCCGCTGATACCTTCTTGTAGAGAGGTTCTCGGCAGGATGGTCGTGTTCAGTAGGTGCTGCTGGAGCTGAAATTCAAGTGCTGTAGTACAACCTGAGTCAGGCTGTGTCCAGGTGTTTCTAAACACTTCGTTCCATTCTAGGAGGAATACGAGGATTCCAGTGGGAATGTGGTGAATAAAAAGACCTATGAAGACCTGAAACGTCAAGGGCTGCTGTAGCTTTTCCACAGTGAAGGATTTCACATCTGAAAAAGAAGTGGAGAAGTGGCAGCAGCTCTGACTCTTCTTAAGTTTCTGGATTTTCTATGTGCATGAATATAGATTTCAAGGATGCTTTATAGGATCACTATAGCAAACTTGTGATGTTATTTTATAGTAAAAAAAAAAAAACAAAACTGAAAAATAAACTAGTTTTAATTTAGGAATTGTTGAGAAACTTGTCTCCTTTTGTGTACTGGGAGGGAGAGGTTTGATTATGGTGTTTTTAAAATGCTTTTTACACAGTTTGAGTTGTCAGAAACAATTGCTTCTCTCATTCCCATTCTGATGGAAAGTTTTATGATGAGGATTGACTTTCTGTAAAGCACATGTGACTGTTGCATGCTGACAATGAGTGATGGTCCTATACTGTATCTTACTGTAAGCGTGATTTTCTTTGGGCTCCTTTGCAAAACAAACTTATTTGGCTTGCATTGCTGCTTTTGCCTCAGGTCTGTCTCCCTGTGGAGCTTTGGCCGCTGGGATTTTTTTCAGGGACTTAAAAGCAGAGCTTGATTTAGGTCGGGCTGTGTGGGCAGTTTGTGGTGGTTTCTCCACCATGGTGGCCGTCCTCATGCCCCCTCCAGCCCCTCACGCGGGGTTTTATTTTGGCACAGAGTTGGCCTGTGTGACATCTCTAGCCTCAGAAACTGCTTTCTGTGCTGTGGCTGCGCAGGGCTGTTTACATCGCAGATGCTGTGGAGCAGCAGTGAAAGACTGCTCGGAGGCAATCCACTGCTCACAGCGGCTGCTGGCTTTTGCGGGTGTGCTGGGGCTTCGGGCAGCAGACGGACAGGGTGAGTCGATGCTGTGGGCTCTTTCCTTTCCCTGCTCCGGGGAAAGGTTGTTTTCCTTGGGATGAGGCCGCATCTGGTGGCGTTCGTTCCTGGGCTGCCCTGGAGCTGGCTGCGGCTGTGCGGGAGTTGTCCAAACCCGGCCTGGGTCATGGCTGCCCTGGTTTGGAGGCGAGAGGGATGTCAGCCTGCATGGTCTTCTCTTTCACCCTGGATGAACAGCCTCAGCAGTCTCCACACAAGCTTCAGCCATTCCAGGTCCGCGGGGAGCACTAACTGGGCCTAAATCATAAGACAGGAGGGCAGTGTTACAGTTCTCCTTGGAGAACTTGGCCTTGGAGCCTGTTTGGAGTCACAGCCCCACTGTTTCCTTAGCTAAACAGTAGATTTTGAATGAAAGCAGAGAGATTCCTAAACCAGAGAGCTGGGAGTCATGGGAAGCACCAAAGCATGTAGAATTTCCCAAACCATGGGGGTGAGCGGGAGGGCAGGGGTCTGGGTGGTGAGAAGCTGTGCAGATGCCGCTGGCTTCAGGACTTGGCAGCAGCGTGGAGGCGTCTGCAAGGACATAACCAGGAGCTTTGCAGCAGAAAACCTCTGTCTGTTGAACCTGCTCCATCATGAAGCATCGCCACTGTTCGGAAAACCCCGTTCTCCCTGCCCTGGTGCCG